AGAGAAGAGGTCTAACAATCGTACAACAACCCAATCGTAGTAACCACAGTCTGAGAATTAGGAATTGAGTACCTATTCTCTCATACTATTATCCTGATGGAGAATTAATTAATTGCTGTGGAGCGAAAGTACAAATCTTCTTAAAGTAAAAAAAGTTCTGTTTTCTACTTGTTTATAAATGATAAGTGATAAATGAAGAATCACACAATTTATATTACTCATACTTAGTGATTCCCTCAATTATTTGCGTTATTTATGTTATAGCATTTACTACTTTACGCACTATTATTAATCATCAGTTACTCAAAGGTCCCATGTAAGATTTAAATTTCACAATATATACCTATGAGTGATATTCTAAGTACTGTACCACCAATGAAGTCAATATAGAACACGAAAGTAGTGCAAGTGCCTGAAGGGAATAATCGAACATGGAAAGTACTTAAGGAAATGTACTGTTTCCCAATTTAGCTTATATTTAGACCCAATACCCAATATTATAGAAAAATAAATCTTCCTTTTAAATTTTTATATTTTATCGTTGTATAAAAAAATTAAAAGATAAAAAGTCAATTGACGATTATATCAATGTATCACTGAATAAAGACATCAACATGATATAAATCGGCTCATGAAGAACTTTGAATAGTGAAACATCTATTAATAAATTCACGTATCTGGATACATAACAGAGTATTTTACTTTCGGTGATTGCACGACTTTTGCCTCCGCTTGTGCTGAAAACCTTGCTCTCGCTGCCAAACGCCGGATTCGCGAGGTCAAAGACGACCAAATAGTTAACACAGCAAGGTCCAATGGCCAGCTATTGTGGTATAAATATCGATGTAGTAACACTTCGGCCCAGTAACATTTCGGCCAAACTCAAATTTCTTAGAAAAACAGTATCACTTCGTCCCACTCGCTTTTACAGATGATTAAATAAGCTAATGGAGTAACATTTCGGCCCGACGAAAAATTGACAAGGGTTGAGGAACGCAGTTCAGGTAGTAAGAGGTACATGACCTGTATACTTTGCAACCACCCTCTGGTGGAATGTCGCCCAACCGTCACCCCTTGCATCCTCTGACCTCACATGACGGAGAATCGGTGGAATCTTACCTAACCTAACCTAACCTAAACTAAACTAAACTAACCTAACATAAACTAACCTAACCTAACCTAACCTGTCAAATATTTTGTTGGGACGAAGTGTTACTAGTGGGCAGGTAGAGAGTTGGGCCGTAGGCCACATCTGAGGGTTTCGGGCCGAAATGTTACTGGGCCGAAGTGTTACTTGGGCCGAAGTGTTACGACACGTAAATATCCTTGACTTACCCTTCCGGTTCTACACGTCTGCTTGTATGTTAACACCCTAACCTGAATGTGTTCCGAAATTATGTATGCTAATATCCAGTCCTGGCACCTGGATATGTTATTCCGAAAATAACTACTGTATCAACATCAACTACAGTAGTTATAACGTTGGCTAACACATGTGTTTTTGTAGGGTAGTAGAACTTAAGAAACTGTCAGTTAAAAATACGATAGCTATATGGTTGACTGTCATTAAATATACGGGGTAGGGGAACTAGACAGTGGTGTGAGGGGGGGAGAGGGGGTTTACTTTGAACTTCCCTATATTACTCGAATTTCTCAACTATACAGGGTGTCGATAAAAAACGTTTCAGGACTTTGGGAAATGAATTCTCATACTTAAGGAAGAAGAACGTTTATGTGAAGGTATGTTCGAAAATGCATATTTACCCAGTTATCCACCATTTTGTTTTAATACATTAGAATTTTTATCTGTGAAGTTTTTCATTTGATGATTATGAAATTTTGTAACCATGTTAACATACACAAGACCTATGATAGAAAAAAATAATAAAGTTGTTCCGATATTAAATTTCAAAATGGCGGCCTTAAACTTAAATAACTCAAAAATGGCTAATTCTATAAACAATTTCAAGAATACTTTTTTGGAATTTTTAATTCCCTATCAAATGATACCAAGATCGAAAAGATCGGACAAGAGATAACTGAAATATACAGTTTTTTGTGTAAAAATATGGCAAAGTTAGTCGGGGACCCCTTAATTTTGCCTTATTTTTACACAAAAAACGTTGTGTTGTATTTCAGTTATCTGCCCGATCTTTTTGATCTTGGTATCGTTTGATATGTTTGGAATGGCTACCTGTACCGCCAAGTCCCGATTGATGAAATCTATAGTGAGATGGGTCTTCAGCATCTGGAGACCAGGAGGAACATCGCTGATCTCGTTGTCTTGCACAAGCTCCTTAATGGCTCATTTGACTGTCCTGATATGCTCCAGCAGATTCAATTTCGGACTCCTCTACGCACTCGTTCGAGAGACCTGTTTGCACCGCACAAACTACGGGATGAATGCCGCACTCGTCCGCATGCAAAGGGCGGGCAACAGCGTGCCAGAGACTGTAGACTTCTTCCTGGACAGTGTATCTTCGATGAAGAGGAAGCTTCAACGTAGTCCCTAGTTTGAAAATTCATTGTCAATATTATATATTTGAATCGTACATTTTTAAATCTAATTGAAGGGTCTTTCTTGTCTATTTGAATTGTTTTCTTGTTATTTCAGTATATATTTATTATCTATGTTGTTTGTATAAGTATTTATTGTAAATGTTATTTATTGTAAGTGTTATTTATTGTTAATGTTATTTATTGTAAATGTTATTTATTCTTGTTGAATCATTAGGCAGAATTCTTTATTATCAAATGCATGTATTTTTATAAGGCCAGAGCGAATGCTATATTATTGTTATGAATATTGTTTCCATCTTTTTGTGTTGTATTAATGTAAAAATGGAGTTGTCCGTTGGTATGTAAAATAAAATAAAATAAAATAAAATAAAATAAGATATTGAATTAAAATGCTAAAAAAAAGTATTCTTGAATTTTTTATAGAATTAGCCGTTTTTGAGTTATTTAAGTTTAAGGCCGCCATTTTGAAATTTAATATCAGAACAAATTTCATAATCATCAAATGAAAAACTTCACGGATAGAAATATTTTTGTATAAAAAACAAAATGGAGGATAACTGGGTAAATATGCATTTTCGAACATACCTTCACATAAACTTTTTTCTTCCTTTTAGTATGAGGATTCATTTCCCAAAGTCCTGAAACGTATACGTACTTGATGCTCGTTTTCGTGTCTAGTTCATGTCCGGTGACACCGATCGCTAGTGTCGACGGAACTTTGTTTCTATTATTTTAGGGTTAAGTTCATGATTCGTGCATTACTGTTTAGTTATACAGGGTGGAACGAAGTTAGTGTTACACTTTTTATGTGTTATACTATTAGTGAACAAATGGCACCAATTTAGGTTTCCATACCGTCACAGGTAGGCTATAACGGACAAAATAAGATTTTTTTCAATATAATTGCAATTGCTTAGATAATATGGCTAACAAATTACAGGGCTTATACAGATGTTAAATCCCAATGACTTTGTACTATTGGTATTGGAAATTTAATGAAGATTCTGAAAATGAGAATACATTTGAAATAAAAACAACATTTACTGCCCTTATTTATTACCAAACCTAAATTCAGTGGCATCATTTAACCAAATTCTTGGGGGGTATTTTGCAGTTTTGAAATAAATAAGAGGATTTTAAGCTTATTTTAATTGCCAAAAGAACTACGAATAAAAACAAAATGAGTTAAATATATTTAAGTTTATATTAGGCAGAAAATTAATGAAACTGACAAAATTATTGACAACAGACAGAAACATAATAATATGTTGGTAAGTTAGTCATCTAAGAAACGTGATCAATAGTTCCATGATGTATTAATATTATGTTTGTTATTAGATTCATGACCAATTTCTCTTGTACAACATTTAGACCTATAGCAATGAATACGGTTGTATTTATAGCCTATTTAATAACAGTTTATTTTGGTTTTTAATAAAACACAAGTATTTAAGAGCTTAAAAGCAAATCAAATTTTATTATCAATAAAATAATTTGGCACAAAAGTACAAAAGGTTCTATTTAACTATATTGATCTGGTAGTTTTATAATTTTCAAAATAAATTACGTACAATTGACACACGTGTATAATTTTAATGCTTAAATAATTCAAAAGTAAATGACAAAGCAATGCTTCTAAAAAATCTGCATGTTTATGTATATATAAACTAGAAAAGTGGTTGATCGTACAGAACCAAACAGAAAAAGTAAATGAATAACAAAACTACTAATTTATGTAAACTCAAAATGAGACACTAAAAAAATGAAACTGAGACACTAAAAAAATAATATTTTTGTTTCAAATTACTGTACAAGAATAGGCAGATTTTTGTTTGCCGTGCTTTTAAGGATTTGACAGGAGAAAATATTTGTCTATTAGCTAGTACAGTATGTTTTTGTCTCTAGCCCAGTACCTAGAGTGGGCGAAATTTTTGTGTCATCGATAACGATGACTAGTTTTTTACAAACCATTTGAGCATTGCCCTCTAATGACAGTGTTTAGAGTTACAAAACATCGAAGACATAAGCTTCCATTTACTAAAAAAATTTATAAGTTTATGTGATCCAGTGAATTTTAACCAAAATACAGTATAGAAATAACAATAGTTAAATTCAAATACAGTATTTTATGAACAAATCTTACAGTACGTTGCAACTGAATACAGTATAGACAAAACTTGTAGTTTATCTAAACGAAGCCCAATTTACCAAGTATACATTCGCAACGATAACGATACGTTGAATAACAATTTGATTGCTCGGCTTGGTCATTGTTGGGAGAGTCGGAGAGCCAGACAGAGGGGAGAAATACTTCCCCTCCCCTCTCCCCACACTCACAATGCATGACGAATTGAGGGGAAGTTAGACCTAGACGAGGGGATGAAGGAGAAGGAATAGAGGGGCAAGACCAGGGGACCGGCTTTCCTTTGTGCACCAGCGACCAGCATCAGCTGTTTTATTTGACTTTTACTGCCAATGCAGAGTGTTTGGAGTTTAAGCTACGCTTCACCTGGGGACGGAGTAGACCTATAGCAACTTTGGATGCGAGCTTCTTTGTTCTTTGTAAGAAAGTTGTCAGATTTATCTGAGTTGTGATAGTTTGGGTTCTGACTTATTATGATTGCTGTGCAGAATTTACCGTCTAACATGACTCTGGATTTGTATAGATCTATAGTAGAAGGTATGTAGTAACTATAGAACTTCATACGCTCTTGTTATGTATAGAACTAAGAGTTATATTTCCAAACAAACTACATAGGTACATCTAGAGTTGTCGTTTCAATTCAATGTGTCTTGATACTGTACATTTGCTCAGACCAACAAAAATGATCACCTTAGCAACCTAGGGATTGAAAGCCCATGTTAACCCTTTTAAATAAAGTGGTTACCCTAATTGCTGTAAAAATTGCGGTTAATTATTGTAATTTCCCCATAAAAACATAAAATAACAAACAGTTTAAATTTTTGTAAAAAAGGCTTCACCAATTACGGTTAAGTTTAGTAGTTTATGGTTCATAAAATGCCATACTTTCATCATGATATGGGTTTGTTGGTAATCTCTTGGGGAAAAGTATGTGTCAGATTGCTGATACCATTTTATCCACTCTTCGTACTAGAACCATGTTCTAAGAACAGCTGAAATTAAATTAAAATAGGCCTAAATCATATTACTGTACTTTTAGCAATTAAATTAATTAATTGGAATAATAAACCTCTTGTAAACAATGCTTACTGTATTAAGACAACTTACTTTGATTGAACTACAGTATTTATAAATATACATTATCACTTTTGAAAGTAGGTTATAATAGATGAGATAGGAAATAGTTTATTGAATAAAAACATGAACAGATCCAAAATACATAAAAATATGACTTCAGTCAAGGATAATCATGAACACTACTTCTGCTTTTAAAATATATTGACTAACTGGTGGTAACATGAGTTCCCATATTGTGTGCTTATCTAATCACTCTAGTTCAACATGGAATTACATACTTTACTAAAACCTTTGACTAAAACACACAAACTTTTTACTGAGTCAAACTAATGGAATGACTAATTGTGAGCTATATCTTTGACTATTAAGTCAATGGCTATATAGGCCTATATAGGAACTCATCAACTTGGTCAGCAACATAAAGTAAGGCAGAAAATTGAACGTTATATCCTAGCCATTCTGTTACTACCGTGTTCTTTTCAATAAACAATTGGCTACAGCTGGTCCATAAAGATAGGATGTCTATACTTTAGTATCCAATAGTAAATGACAAAACTTAAGAATCATATGGTTAAAAATAGGCCTTTGCCCTATTACAGGGTTAGGCAATAGTCTGGAACCCCCCAGTTAACTTTTTAACACGTTGCAGTAGGAAAACCAAACTCGGCACATATTTACAACATAAGAAATCATACTTTTTCATCAAAGTTACAACTTTGCCCCAGCCCCCTAAATGAGGTATTTTGGGGGCAGCCCCAAATTTTCAAATGTAAGCACCTATCATGTGACCCTTCATTTTAAAGGGTTTATCAAGAGAAATTGAATGGCGCAAACCAGAGGTCAATATCGCACCCCTAATCAAAATGGCCTGCTATAACCTGTTAAAAAGTTAATAGGGGATATTTCAAAATGACAGGCATTTTGATTAGGGGTGCGATATTGACCTCTAGTTTGCACCATTTAATTTTTTCTTTAGAAACCCTTTAAAATGAGGGGTCACATGATAGGTGTTTACATTAAAAAATTTGGGACTGTCCCCAAAATACCCCATTTTGGGGGCTGGGGCTAAGTTGTAACTTTGATGAAAAAGTGCAATTTCTTATGTTGTAAACATGTGCCGAGTTTGGTTTTCCCACTGCAACACGTTAAAAAGTTAACTGGGGGGTTCCAGACTTTTGCCTAACCCTGTATATTTTTGAGTTATACAGAATTCATAGGTGAGTATTTTTATTTAATCAAAGGGGGAGAGAGGCAGCTTGGAGTTGTTATTTTTGAAGTAAACATTTTTTTGTCTTAACTTGTACATTGACTATTTTAGCAAAATAGAATCTCTTTGCCCACAAAATAGATTGTCAAGACAAGACTTGGCATAGTGATTTATGTATCACATATAGACATACTCAATTAAGGACGCAAATATGTTTAATTTATTTGTTTTTCACCATCCATCCAAAATGTGAATTATTTAGGGAATTATAATTGTATTGTTTCATTGCAAAATAAGGTGCTTTCTCGATTATTAAGTAAACCTTGCTAAATTCTTGCTCATGTGACTTAATTTCCTTGTTTATATAATGCCAGTCAGTCACACATTCAGGTTATGGTTACATGCCACTTGGTAAGGTCGCAGATGTCACTGTATACCCACGTGTAAGGTATTTGATAATGATCACGCCAATACCACATGTGTCAAGAATGATTCATCATGACACACTCATACCACACCTACATGCTTTTGTTTTAATCATTCTCTTCAACTTCACTGCTTTTTGTTTAACTGAAGTGCTATTTATATTTTAAACTTGATTACAAATCAAGTTGAAATATTTACAAGTGTTTATTTTGATAAATTTTTCTAAAACAGTATCAGTTAAGTACCAAAATAAATACACTTCTTGCTAAAATGATTCTAAGTGGATTCTGCAATAAGTTGTGTATGTTGCGGTAAATCATGAAACAAGTAAAATATTCAGATATTTTTATATTACTAGCAGTTACCTGGCGTGCGTTGCTGCGCTAATTTGTTCTAGCTTGGTATTTTAAGCCAAGTATGAATGGAGATGAGTGTAGGATGAGTGGCGCGATCTTGTAGTCTTGTTAGTGACTATAAGGCCGACATTCCTTAGACATATGTATCACATATAGACATATCACTAAGGTACATAAATAACCAAGTTAATTGGTAATTTGTTCTTTACAATAAATAATAAAAATGTATTAATAAAATTAATATAATATTTATTTTACCTAATTGCCAGTGGATAAACAATGTTTTTTTTTGTTTTTTCATTAGGTGTATAAATATATAATTTTTTAGGCGTACCTACCACCATGTGAGCACGCAACATACAGCTTTCCGTGTGAAAAGGGTGCATTTTCTAAATTAAAACCGGCGTGGCGATAGTCAGCCATTGCCTTTTGCCTTATAATGGTTATTGGGAAAGCAAGACGCAAAGGAAATTGTAGTCGCTTGAATTCAAAGGGTAATTTGGATGAAATCATCGTTATTCTTGGGATTAAGATTATTTCTCCTTTAAACAATTACCACTGATGATGGTTGCTTCGATCAAGTTTTGTGTCATTTTTTTATTGCCAGTCTGGTTCCGTTGCACAGCTTGGGTAGATTTAAGTTTCACATTACTGTAGTATTATTGGAGTTCCTTATTTTAATGACAATTATGTGGTGGGTTAGTGAAAAATTGGGAGGCTTTTGAATACCTGAGACGAACGATTATTATTCACTTAATAATTTATGTTAGATTGTGTATATAGAACAAAAGATAAAAATATTTTAAGGTATTGTCATCCCTTTTATTGTTTATAATACTTTGATTAAGGTTTTTACTTTTTATTTTTACATATTTAATAGTGGAGAATTTAAATAATGTTGAGTGCAAAGGTGGGCTGCAATTGGGTTTTAATATATTTGGACTTACCGGTATCCAAAAATTAAAATAGTTTTCTGTTCTGCATTCTGTGGAAACAGTATGGCACTATTTCAAATCATGACCTTAGACATTCCATCCCCATGTTAAATTTGTAGCCAGGTTTTTTATCAAAATTGTCGTAGTTGATGTGAGGCATCTATAGTTGCGCTGATCTAAATTACTAAATTCTGTCTAGTACACAAACTTTTTTACCAATTCAAACTTAGGGAATGACTTATGGTGAGCTATAATAGCAACTGTTATGACTTGAGAACCTGGTCAGCAACAAAAAATAAAGTATAAAATAGAATTTCAGACACTAGCGCATTCTGTGACTGGTTCACACAACTACGTTCTTATTTAGTAAACAAATTAGCGAGAGCTGGTCCATATAGATGGGATATATATATGTTGGTCCTTTTAAAATGCCTTAAAACTAGTTTCACCTCCACCATTTAATTTAAAAACTAAATTGAACAGTACCACTTAACTCGATAGTACCTTTTAGCGAATTTCCCTATAGGGAAGTAGCTATTACTGGTAACTTACTTGTTAAAAAAAAAAATATTATTAAAAAAAAATATTAAAATGTACCTATTTGCCATTTAATTTAGAAATGGAATTTAACCACTTTAACTTAATAATATTATGTTTTAGCGAATTTCCCTATAGGGAAGTACCTATTATTATCAGTAGATAGGTATTAGGCGTACTTGTTAAACCTAATGTTATTTAGATATATTTCATAGAAAATCATATCAGGCAAATGGAAATTTGCTTAGGGAAATTTACTTAGTCTGCAGGTTTGCTGCGGCAGGGTTATTTGTTAACCCAGACCCAGTCTAGTCCAGGTATAGGTATATATGTATTTTTTTGGATTCAATAGTATTTCATCAGCCTTTCGATTGAATAAATAAGTTACATACAAAAATTTAGTTTCTTGTTAAGACCAACAATGAAATTTTTGTCAAAACTTATAAAATTCAGTTATGGAAAACATTGTTATTTTAATATTTGGCCAAATACGTTGATGTTCGACAAAAACATTGATGTATAAAAACATTGGTAGCGTCATCAATGTAAAAAACCTTGAACAATGATAGAAAAATAGGGATGTTTTGAAAACATCCACTATCAATACTCTCATCCCTATACATCACACCTTCCTCAAGCGTAGACACTTTGTCAACAAAACAAAGACTTGCATCTGAAGTGGAAACCCTAACTGCAAAGAGCTTTTCCCACGTTAGTAGCAAGACCCCATAGTTTTCTTTTCTCATTAATTTCAGTGATAAGTTTATACCCAAAACAAAGATGAAGTTATCTGATAAGGGTTAAGGTCTAGTTCCAGGCTGCCTCTAGCGGTTTTTCTAGTATGAGTTCCTGGGGTTTGTATATTTTAAATCCTTAACGCTCAAATCCAAAAGCTTAAATATAGATCCTAGATATTACAAACTAAGTCCTAAATTGTAATTCTGTCTGTAGCGGAGGAAGCAGAGTGGGAAGTAGCATGTTCAGCTCTGGCCCAGAGGCTAGGTGAGGAGTTGAGGGCTGCCAAGTCTGCACAGTTATCCTGTGGTGAGGTGTTGCTGCCACGAGAGTTGCTGGCTACAGTCGCCAGCCAGATACTGGCCCAGTCTGTCTGCGAGCCCTGTGGTCTTAGGTAAAAATCAATCATTTTTCTTTTCTTTTGAAGAAGAAAATACTAAGGCTATCTATAAATTAAGATCCCCGACAAGCTCCAATCTCGGCCAAGCATTCTATCACCATTCTCATCACACTCCATTCTACATTTATCCTTCACTTATATTTGAGTTACAATACGCACATAGGTAGCGTCCCCATCTCAAATGGTAATACTAAAAATAATATTTCAAATCTGAGACCAGTGCTGTGCTCTTTACTTAAACCGGTACTCATCTATCCCACACCTATGTGACAATTGGTCTTACTCTCTAACAGAAGATGAAAATGACGTGAAGGAAAATCTACACTACTGCCATGTATGAATGACAGAAATCTAGTAGTTCTAAGTAGATTTTAGTAGGTACCCTAGTTTAAGAGGTGTTAACTGTTTTTGAAGTCCATTTTCAGTTGACAAATAAAAAAAACAAAGACAAAACATAGTCCCTGAGTAGATTTCCCATCCTAATGGAACAGCTGAAGCCAATTTTAAATTGTAAACAAAACACAACATCTACAGAAAACCGAACAGATCTAACAATAAAATTGGCTTCAGCTGTTTTATAAGGATGGAAAATCTACTAAGGGACTATGTTTTATCCATGGTAAAAGTGATTGAACCAAATTTAAGTTGGGAACCTGTCATTCTCTTTTTTGGATATGTGGAAATTATTTTCTCCCAATTCAGGATTTCTTGGTGCACAGAGGAAAAGGAACAATTGGACGAGTAGCTGACAATTATTTTCAACGTATAGTTCTCCTAACATTTATCTCTGATGAAGTCAATCCATATGGATTTTCTTACCATTTCCCTTGGTTACTGGGGCTGCACCCTTTCCAAGGCACCATTGAGCACATAGCGACTCCTGTGAGAGAGCAGGGTGGGAAAAGAGGGAGACCTCCAAAAACGTTTTGAAACTCTGTGATTGCTCAATTCTATCATGTTGTTTGTTTAAATATTTCCTTCGTAAAATATGAACAACCTTTCTAATCAGTAAAAATATTGATTAATAATATGCATTTACAGTCTTTTATGAGAGGCTATGAATGTGATTGTCCCAATCTCTGTACAATTTCTTTCATTAAAACATTCCAAATAGCTCATAACATTTCAAATCCATAATTTAACCACGAAAAAATAACCTTAACAGTTACTGATTTGTTTTCTGGCAACTCACATTGTAAAGGACCATCAAATTCTTACAGTAATTAGTAATTTTAAAACTCCTTTTTTTACTTAAAATTTTCCTTGTTTACAGGGGCTGTACCCTGGACATCCAGCTAGAGACTGAGGAAGGCAGTCAGGTGAAGATCAGCAGCATCAAGTGGGACCCTCAGATGAGCTCCACCTTCCTGCTGAGTCTAACGCTGAGACAAGACACAACACACAAGTGGCGATTTTCCCAGCTGCTGAAGACTTTGACCAAGGGTCGCACTCTGGTCATCAGCAACAACTTCCTCCTACACAAGACAAGGCTCTACCGGTCCCTCTCTAACACCCAGTGAGTAATCATGTCAGATTTGACTATTGATACATCAAAGTAGACATCCCAAAGGCATTTTCAAGCTATAACCAGTTTTAAAGCAAAAGAAAACATAATGGAATTCAACCTCCAACAATGCTGTTGTCAGATAAGTTTTTCTAACCTTCCATCTTTTACTCAAACCCAATTGAAAGGATAACTAAAATATTTGTTGTGCCACCAAGACAGAAAACAGCGATTTGACTACAGCTCATTCTGTAATAGTCTCATCCACTTCAGTTATAGTTTTTCAATTAGGTAACTAGCCGCAGGTAGTCCAAACAGATGGGATATTGTCTACATCAGTACCATAGTCAGTGTTCCCTGAGAGTAAAGTCTGATAGTTACTTAGTTTTAAGTTTAGAAATAGTCTTATAATTATTTGAGATCAGTAAAATATTGTAGTTTAAAATAACATGGAACAATCTTAATTAAATTTACATTTGGTTGAAGATCGAATAAAAAATCTTCTCCAAATAGAAGGTTGTACAGGTTGATTAATTTTATTTTCATCATTCTGTCCGGAAAGTAGCCGTCATTAGTTCTTTAAATCGCCAGAAAAATCATTGTTAACTTCAAATAGGGAACCGAAAAAGCACATGGTAAATCTTTCGGTTCGCTAACCTCAAATTTTGTATAAGTGCATTATAAAAACGCTACTAATCATCCGATATTAGAGTTATGTTTGTAAATAACAGAAATGTAAACATTGATGACGACTTTGTATAACCTCAAATTATGTGGTCTAATTTTGTAACGATTAGAAGGATATTTCCACAATATGATGAAAATAGGTGTTCATCACACGGAGCAAAATTGTCTTTTTGGTACTTAATCGTATTAAAATGTGATTGCCTACGAAAAAAACCACTTTCGCTCCTAGTGATAAAAAGTACTATTATTTCCACAACGTGTATAATGTTTTTTCCCCCATACTGCACATTTGTAATTCATATTTTTGAAACCAAAAATATGGTTTCATTATTGTGATATTTTAGACTGATAAATGTAACTTAGTTGATTTGAGCTTTCCATGTGTGATGATTTGTATTTTTATAGAAATGATAAATATTGAGTAATTTTATTTTAATTATTTATTAACAAGTTAATGATTGTTGAAATGGTTTTATTCCGATAGGTGTAGAGAAAGTCTTTCATGAAAGTTATTTATTCCTTATATTATTTATCAACTTAAAGATGGATTACTTATTTATTTTGTATAATGTTAGTTTAAGAAGTAAGCTTTGTTGTACTGTTAGGTAGTTCATTATAGATTAATTTATGCTTTTTAATATTAGCAGTTTTTTCACTTGCAAAGTTATTTCATTATTCATGTTAATCCCCCTCCCTTTGATAATCTAAATACTGTTTCAATAATGTGGCTTTATAACATTTAGGAATAGAATAGTGTTTTTTAAAATTATCTGTGGTTAGAGTAATAATTTAAAACTCGTGTCTTACCCTGTGAAATATTTGAGTTTTGAATAAAGTGTCAGTGTAAAATTTAAATTCTAACTTCTTGACCTTTGTAGTTAACCACATACCTCAACTGAATATTATAAATTATCTGACTTAAATGCACTTACCTTGTGTATTTAAGGATGATTAGGATACTGTACTTTATTACAATATATTATGTTTTTCTCTTCTTTGAAAAGTAGAAAAATAGAAATCTCAGGTAAAATGAAAAGAAAAGTATGATGTTTAAACTATGCTGTTAATTGGGGCCATTTGAAAAAAATATGTTTTAATCATTTTCATAAAAGCTTAATTGTTTGTCTCTTGCATTTATTCCTTTAATAAAACATTAGTTAATCTTCGATGAGCCTTAATATTTTCCGCTAATCTTTCATTAGCTTCTGTTTCAAGTTCATCTTTTGTTGCATCTGACAGTGATTTTCCATAACCATAGAATATATTTTCATTGTATATATGATCAGTTTTGCGATATGTTCCATGTATCTGTAAAGAATCGTCCAATAAAGAAAAAAAGTCTTAATCCTTCTTTCTGAAATGGAATTAACCCTTCATGGGTCTCTTTGATTTTAAAGCCTATGTCCCACGACGCGTTGCGTGGCGGGCCACACGACGGTGGAAATGCGCGTGCTGGAGCGTCTGTGCGCGTATAGCTCCACGCAAGACCTAACCCACGACCCGTGTCACGGTGGTCTGGGGGCCACAGTAGATAGTGTACAAGATAGAGACCTCTGTACTACACTGTATTTGTATTTACACAAAGTATACCTATGCAAGAGCAAATTGCTGTTTCTTTGAGATTTCTTGTCACTGGGGACAGCTATGTTAGTCATGTCATTTTTGTTCAGACAAACATCAAGATGCGTCGATTAAGATTGCACTGCGCTAATTGAAGAACATAAAAATGAAATAAAGGTTAAATAATGTTCGTATAAAGGATATTATACATCAGGTTACTTTACCTTACAGGTTATAGGCTGTTACTTTTATTAAAGTTAAACATTAAAATAAATAATGTCCACCTTTTAAAATGACTTTAAAATGTTATTAATTAATTGATAATGATGATAATGTTAATCATGTCTTTCAACAACAGTTTATGAAACCTGTATAATTAAATAGGACTAGCACAGGGAGGTTCTTGCTCCATCCCGCACCTTTGATGTTTACCGAGATTTTGCGGGAACGGACGCGCAACCCCGCTCTACGCCACTCTTGCACTTACCCTGTCCCACGACGCCGCCGTGCGCGCCGCACAACGCTCCGTGGGACATAGGCCAAAAACACGATCGGTGACACACAGAGTTTTTTCTGGGTGTTGAAACATTAGACAAACGATATTTTTAAAAGTAATACAAAAATGCTTAAATCATATATAATCAATAAAGTTTTTCATGAAATCAATAGAAACTTTTGCTTTACATATTTATAAAAATATGTAGCAAACAAAAACCGCTACACTATTGTTGACACACTGCCACTGTGCGATCGGTGACTTACGGAGCCGGGCTGCTACGCGACTCTTCCGGCTTCATCTGAATAATAGGGGTTTTGCGGGGGAGGTGTGAGAGCAAAATAATGAAGATGCACGTAAGGTACTGTCACTTCCTAAAACTGCCAGCAAGCAATAACATATATTATTCTATAAAAACAAATGCAAACTGAGTAAAACTCTGTGGTGTCACCAATGAAAGGTTAAATGAGGAAGTCAAAAATTCAATCCCATTCTATTAGGTAGCACACTACTAACTAATTTTAGAATAAATAAGAAAGTAGTTGATTTTAGACATCACCAGACTGTGCTGCTATAAAAAACAATTTTTTACCTTTTACGAAAAGAGAACTTGTAAACTCAAACTGTGACATCTTTTATGTCCCATCAACTGTAATAGCGTAAAACAAAAAAAGAAAATATAACTAACTTCAATAGTAAAAAATATATAAAAGATCCATTCAACTCTGGTCCTCTTTCAGCCAAAAACAAAAACACTGTCTTACATACTTTATTTATCAACTTCATTATCCAAAGTTAATTATCCAACTACTATAGAGTATAATCAATTCTTGTGTTTCCTGAAACTATTGATACTATCATGGGAATTGCAAATACTTCCATGTATTAATATCAAAAGTGTTTGCTATGATGACCAGTAATTAAAACAATTTTAGTTCTACAGTAGTATAAAAAAATGACTACTAAATATAGCATGCGGTAGAATGCACTGAGCAGTTGCACTAGCTTAGTCTGGCTGTGGAGAAGTAATTAAGGCCTCTTTCACACGGCATGGCATCTGTCGGGCAGCTCGCCAGGCCCACTTTTATAAACGGGCAGACTGGGCATATGCCCAGGGGCGCTGGTGGTTTGGGGGCGCCCACTGGGAGCCCCCAAACCACCACCTGCCAGCACTAGGAAAAAAGGGGGGCGCTGCTCTTGGGTTTGCCCAGGGCTCCACTGACCCTTAACGCAGCCCTGCAGCTCGCGCCTGACAAGCGAGAACCTTTCACACAAAGTTGCTCTCGTCCAGCGCGTATCGAGCAACGCTGCCACAGTAGACGCTCAGCTGTTGAAAGGATAACCTCGTGGAAGAAGAAGGTGCTGGCAATGTATCTGCTATCTATGGAGACGGTGAAAGAGAAGAATAAATACCGTAGGTGGTTTTGGGTCTACCCTTTGATTGATAATTAACATTCTTGTGGTTCCTTTCAAGTGCTATTTAAATCATCGTAAAACAGTGAGAAAAGATTTCTTCTTACTTTAGAATGTCAATCAAATCCTTTATTTGATGAGTAAATTTTTCGAGCTGCAAAAAAAGCTATTAATCGACAGTTTTCTACTCTGCACAACAACGTTGTGGTTCCTAGTGAAAATAAAACATTTCCCAGTGTTTTCACTAACCTGCGTCCGTGGGATAACACTTTTTATATCTTTTTATACAACAATAACTAACTAGAAGACTGTGGTTGTGTGGAGTAAAAATCTGCCAACGAAGAGTTCTTTGCGTCACAGTCCCTTACTTGTTTTTGAAATACACATACTTTGCATAACCTCGATGTTGTCCAGTCCAAACATTATTGATGGTAACTGAAACGGTATGAGTGGCTGATGATAAAAAGGCCAAAAATGTCTGCCTTCCTTCTTTTACAGCCGGTGTGCTGTGCCAAGGCCACACTAAAAAACAGGCTGTAATGCTCGTCAAGCATGATGTCACGATAGAAGACGACAATGACGTAGGTATTTATTTATTTATTTTCCAAGGAAAGATTAAAACAAGCAGTTGATCACAAACGGCAAACATTACGTCATTGCCGTCTTCTATCGTGACGTCATGCTTGACGAGCATTACAGCCTGTTTTTTTGGTGTGGCCTTGGCTGTGCCCTGTATAAAACAAATTAGATTTCTTAATTTTATCGTAAGTTAAAAATAGTGTTAAACAATCAAGTTCAAGCTGAGCCAATGACCCACATATCAAATCACTTTATACAAAATAACAAGTAGTATAAAGGTTAAAAATACTTTTAATCATTTATAGGTTGATAAATATGTATGGGGACTAGTAAATGCATATAGCAATTTAAATGTTAAAAAAAGATTGATTTGATTTGATATAATCTTACCAGATCCCAGTAATAGCAGTTGAAGCCATAGTTGACATGAGTGTATTGGTGGTGGTTGTCATGAAATATGGAATCCGGTTTCCAGAATTGCCACTTGGGTGCTTTAATATCAACACCAGAGTGATCCAGAATAGCATTATAGTAGGTGTAGATACCAACAGCAGTAAATGATGCTGTAAAATAGTTTCATATTATAGTTGGGATACATTCAATGGGATGCATATCTTAGACAACACAAGTCAAATGGGTTTTTGTTAATGTAGGTTATAAATGTATAGGACCCAGACATGTCATAGTGTGTAATTCACTCATCTTTACATCAGAAGGAAGGGTGTTGAATTAATAACATGATAAACACTCATTACTGACTTAGATCAACTCATTCTTTAGTCAGAACCATTCAAACTCTGATCAAGGGCTGGATTCTCCTGCAAATTTAGTCTGCTTTGATTCTACTTGTAAGATTTAATAAAG